AGAAATAAATCTCGAAAGTAGAGAATACTTTTCTATTTCTATTATATTCGTTTCCTTGTGACCAATACAGGCAAGAGGCAGTGGACTTCTTAGTGTATGTCTTCATTCTGGTTGGCATGGATAAATCATATGGCGGACGTGCGCGTCTTAACGATATATTCTGTAAGACTACTTATGTATGATAACTGATACTCTGTTGGGTACTACGATTTCCACGATAATGAGAATCTGACATTTCATTTAGCATTAATTGTCATATGACCCAAAAGCCCCAAAAGAGTACATGTTAGTAATATCATCTCAAATGACAAGCAAAAATCCATTACCAACCAGCATTTTTTGTTCCAAAACAAAGAGCAGGATCAATGTTGAGGAAGATATTTGTATTGTAAAAGACACGAATTAACAACATCATTACAAGTTATGCTGTGACTGAGAACAAAAATGAAGGTATTGTGTCCACAGCTTGGGGGATGGCGTCTGTTGCTCATGAATCGATCTACCATCAAGACTGAAATCAGCACATGGAACTCTCTTGAATCCTGTCACACTTGTCAGTCAATATCGTGTATGCCCAATACGGACATCAATACCCCCGCCCCAACTGGACAAGCAGAAGATGAAAATCGTCTGATCATAAGAAATGGGATTTGACACCATTCGTCTCAGAGGGGACTAGCTAACTGATCGTTACTCTTATGTGACAGTCAAGGTGATCCCACAAGTGTCATCTGGGTGATATGTCTGGTGATGGCCAAGAGTTGTATCTCTAAGGCGGGCCAGCAACCTATTGTCGTATTTCCATCTTCAAATTGGCCCTAACTATGTCTCCTGGTTTGTCAGCACCAAACCCCGGATCACGAAACACTGATAGCTTGACACATGCCGTTTCACAAGTTTTGGCCGATAGCCTGACACTTGCCGTCTCACACGTTTTGGCCGATAGCCTGACACTTGCCGCCTCACACGTTTTGGCCGATAGCTTGACACTGCCGCCTCACACGTTTTGGCCGATAGCCTGACACTTGCCGTTTCAAACGTTTTGGCCGATAGCCTGACACTTGCCGTTTCAAACGTTTTGGCCGATAGCCTGACACTTGCCGTTTCAAACGTTTTGGCCGATAGCCTGACACTGCCGCCTCACACGTTTTGGCCGATATCTTGACCATTGCCGTCTCACACGTTTTGGCCGATATCTTGACCATTGCCGTCTCACACGTTTTGGCCGATAGCCTGACACTTGCCGTCTCACAGGTTTTGGCCGATAGTCTGACACTTGCCATCTCACACGTTTTGGCCGATAGCTTGACACTTGCCGTCTCACACGTTTTGGCCGATAGTCTGACACTTGCCATCTCACACGTTTTGGCCGATAGCTTGACACTTGCCGTCTCACACGTTTTGGCCGATAGTCTGACACTTGCCATCTCACACGTTTTGGCCGATAGCTTGACACTTGCCGTCTCACACGTTTTGGCCGATAGTCTGACACTTGCCATCTCACACGTTTTGGCCGATAGTCTGACACTTGCCATCTCACACGTTTTGGCCGATAGTCTGACACTTGCCGTCTCACACGTTTTGGCCGATAGTCTGACACTTGCCATCTCACACGTTTTGGCCGATAGCCTGACACTTGCCGTCTCACACGTTTTGGCCGATAGTCTGACACTTGCCGTCTCACACGTTTTGGCCGATAGCTTGACACTTGCCGTCTCACACGTTTTGGTCGATAGCCTGACACTTGCCGTCTCACACGTTTTGGCCGATAGTCTGACACTTGCCGTCTCACACGTTTTGGCCGATAGCTTGACACTTGCCGTTTCACACGTTTTGGCCGATAGCTTGACACTTGCCGTCTCACACGTTTTGGCCGATAGTCTGACACTTGCCATCTCACACGTTTTGGTCGATAGCCTGACACTTGCCGTCTCACACGTTTTGGCCGATAGTCTGACACTTACCGTCTCACACGTTTGGCCGATAGTCTGACACTTGCCATCTCACACGTTTTGGTCGATAGCCTGATACTTGCCGTCTCACACGTTTTGGCCGATAGCCTGACACTTACCGTCTCACACGTTTGGCCGATAGCCTGACACTTGCCGTCTCACAGGTTTTGGCCGATAGCTTGACACTTGCCGTCTCACACGTTTGGCCGATAGCCTGACACTTGCCGTCTCACAAATTTGGCCGATAGCCTGACACTTACCGTCTCACACGTTTTGGCCGATAGCCTGACACTTGCCGTCTCACAGGTTTTGGCCGATAGCTTGACACTTACCGTCTCACACGTTTTGGCCGATAGCTTGACACTTGCCGTCTCACACGTTTTGGCCGATAGCTTGACACTTGCCGCCTCACACGTTTTGGCCGATAGCCTGACACTTGCCGTCTCACACGTTTTGGCCGATAGCTTGACACTTGCCGCCTCACACGTTTTGGCCGATAGCCTGACACTTGCCGTCTCACACGTTTTGGTCGATAGCCTGACACTTGCCGTTTCACACGTTTTGGTCGATAGCCTGACACTTGCCGTTTCACACGTTTTGGCCGATAGCCTGACACTTGCCGTCTCACACATTTTGGCCGATAACCTGACACTTGCCGTCTCACACGTTTTGGCCGATAGCCTGACACTTGCCGTCTCACACGTTTTGGCCGATAGCCTGACACTTGCCATCTCACACGTTTTGGCCGATAGCCTGACACTTGCCATCTCACACGTTTTGGCCGATAGTCTGACACCTGCCGTCTCACACGTTTTGGTCCATAGCCTGACACTTGCCGTTTCACACGTTTTGGTCGATAGCCTGACACTTGCCGTTTCACACGTTTTGGCCGATAGCCTGACACTTGCCGTCTCACACATTTTGGCCGATAACCTGACACTTGCCGTCTCACACGTTTTGGCCGATAGCCTGACACTTGCCGTCTCACACGTTTTGGCCGATAGCTTGACACTTGCCGTCTCACACGTTTTGGCCGATAGCCTGACACTTGCCGTCTCACACGTTTTGGCCGATAGCTTGACACTTGCCATCTCACACGTTTTGGGCGAAGCGATTAAGGCGCCGCAATTCCCTGTGCAGAGTTGCGTCTTTTGGGCACACCAGAAACCTATGATCGTGGGTTCGAATCCTGGTTGGTCCAGATTATGTTTCTAGGTTTGCCAACAGCATACCCGTTGAAGTAACTGGAATACTGTTGCATACGGTCTTTAACGGAACTCACTCACTCACCCCAGAGGAGTGTGAACTGTGAGAGACATTGTTGGAATACACAATACACCGACGCTCACCAGTCTTACGTTGGCCACAATCTCCATTGAAAAGGAATCCCAACACTGTTGACATTTCCACATTTTATTGGACAGCTAACACTTTATATGATACTGAAAAGAAACATAAGACCATCCTAAAACATAAATACTTAGTACATGGCACTCTCATTTGACGGCCACCTCAGGGATGAGTACAGACAAATTGTCATGGGGAGAACATCACATACCGTCGCCGTATCACAACTTCCTAGATGGTGAAAACTAGTACTGGCTGTGCATTTACAACGTTGAGTGAAAATTGAATTTGAATTTTAACAAATTATAATAATCCCAATTGCTCTCGTCACATAAATGTAACAGAGTTCAAAATATCATGTTATTTGTAGTTATTTGGTGGTGGATTTTAAGTTATTTATGTAGTATTTTCAAGATAAATGAAAACTTCCCACAACCCAATAAGAGCTCCCAATCCACAGAGAGCGTCATAGTTGTTTCTAAACAAGAAGTTTGACATCAGATTTGATTGGCACACATTTTCTGAAAACCAAGTAGAGCCAGTTTGATTGCTCTTCGCGCCGTGAGCATGCCACATGCATGATCACTTGGTTGGTGACATCAGGAGTGGGAGCATTTTTTCTTGCTGGAAATGCGAAAACTGGTTAGTTTGGTTAGTTTCAGAACATTTTTTATACAAATTCATAAAATATGAATAAAAAAATTGTATTGTTTTATGCTTTTTAGTTTAATTGTTTATGCAATTATGTAATAATATAACTTTGAACATTTCAAGTGGTTAGTTGTGGACAGAATAACTTGATAGTAAACGTTTGGCAGATTTATCTATGCAGTTATTTACTGTATTATTTTTTACATTTGATTACAATTTGATTACATTACGCTACTGGATTAATAGCTGTAGGTGACCAGGTCAATACGAGGGCTGGTCGAAATGTTCTAAGCTTGATTAACGTTCAACTATGGGCCATAATGCAATGCATAATACTCAATGCAATGCGTTGTTTGAGTAGTTCGTTGCAAGTGTATTTAGTCCAATCCCGAGTCAAATCGTTTATCCATGGAAAGGCACCATTTCACTTCTCCAGCACCAAAGAAAATTAAGTCTTCAATATCAGTAAATAAACTTACGGCCACTGTACCAAGGGTGTGATTACTTAGAAAATCAAAAGACGATTACAGGTGCCTACTATGCTGATTTGCTTCATCGTCTGAGAGAATCTATCAAAGAAGAGTGGCAAGGAATGCTGACTGCTGGAGTGCTTTTACTATTTCATGACAATGCCTCTTCTTACACCTATCGATTTGCCAAGCCTGGCGTGCGACAATGTGGGTTCGAAGAGCTTCCTCACCCTCCCTACTCGCCAGACCTGGCACCAAGTGATTTCCACCTGTTTCCTAAACTGAAAGAACACCTTTGTGGAAAGCGCTATGATGACAACGATGACCTCAAAGCTGACGTGAGCGGGTTTTTCAGGGCGACTTCAGAAAACTACTTCCTGATTTGAATTGAAAAGCTTCACTATCGATATAATAAGTGTATCGAAAGGAGGGAAATTATGTTAAAAAATAAAATTAAAAACACTTTCACAATTGTTGGTTTTGTTTGTGCCTGCCCGGGTGTTTCGATATAAATGTTGATGTCTTTGAGGACTCATACACTAAAAGGTTAATCGCATGTTATATGTATCACAATAGTGGTTCATCGACTGACTCCAACGACAAATAGAGTCACTATGAAGAGATTCAGGATGGCTGGACATCCACATGATAGGATCCATACTCTGCCGCTGTGTGCTTGGTTTACCTGTGTTCTGTCAGAAAGAAATGACTTTACTGTTACAAACTCCACTATCACGTAAGTAAGCAACTATATTTATCAGAAGCTTTGTAGTTTCAAACAAAGATATTCATCCGTCCTGTAACATTACTGTAATTTTTAATATTCTTTTTATTTCCATAAGTGATTTTGGATTTGGTTATTGGTTCTTTCTTGCGTTCTGCAGATTAATGATGATATTATTGGCAAAAGAAGATTCATGAATCTGTTTTTATCTGTCAGTTTACTTATCATATACAACTAGGAGATCATTTATTTCTCAGGCCTGCAAATTGTTACAAATATTTTCCTCCCGACATAGAAAACACACCTATCACCTATTAACTTGCAGGATTTAAGCTAATGTGATACCTTTTGCCTTTCAGCAGGTGCGTGTTGTTTGTTGTCCAGGACAAGGTCGGATGGTGGTCCGGTGCGGTACTCTTGAAAGGGGTGGAGTACACCAAGGTTGTGTCCTGGCCCAGTGCACGGGAGGTGGTGCTTGCTTGTCCCGCGGTCCCTGGCAACACAAGAAGGACTTTTTAACCGATGGTTTCATATTACTATAGTTAATTTCTTATGGCATGACAGAATAACTATTGAAATACTTGTGTGTTCTTTAACTTCTTGTGAGTAGTATCATGGATGCAGAGTTTGATATACTCATTCATTTGTTATGTATTTTTTCCGTGGTCCTGTGGGTAAAGCGTCTCCCCGGAGAACGGAAGGTCGGTGGTTCGATCCCCGGCCGCGTCATACCAAAGGACGTAGATGGCACTTGTTGTTACCCTGCTTTGCGCTCGACATGAGGTGATTCACAAACTGGTTGGCTCATTATACTGTGTCTCAGTTGGGTATCCACGTACACCTGCGCCATGGTACCTCAGTAAAACTGGGCCAGTCAGGATAACAAGTTGTTTTAGGTGAGGCGCTGAGCTTACACCAGATGATACTACAAGCAGGACTCCCTGTATCTTACACATAAGTGTATCTTAGATTTGTGCCTGTGCTATCCACCTCCACCAGGAAAACTCGAACCAATGTGCCATTTGCATTAACTAGATTAAATGGTAGTAAAATGTGTTTATAACTGTGTGAGATTTCTTCAATAAGAAATGTTCGCATCTATACTTTGAATAAAATAGTAAACAGATAAATCTCCACTTACAATGCTTGTGAATGTCTTTAACTCCCTTCTTTGAATGTTGCTTGTTTACATCTTTAAAACCCTTCTTTGAATGTTCCGTTTGAATGTCTTTAACATCCTTCTTTGAATGTTCATTGTGACTGTCTTTAACACCCTTCTTTGAATGTTCAATGTTTATGTCTTTAACATTCTTCTTTGAATGTTCGATGTTTATGTCTTTAACTCCCTTCTTTGAATGTTCCATGTTTATGTCTTCAACGTCGTTCTTTGAATGTTGCTTGTTTATGTCTTTAACACCCTTCTTTGAATGTTCCGTGTGACTGTCTTTAACACCCTTCTTTGAATGATCCATGTTTATGTCTTCAACGTCGTTCTTTGAATGTTCCTTATGAATGTCTTTAACACCCTTCTTTGAATGTTCCGTGTGACTGTCTTTAACACCCTCCCTTGAATGTTCCTTGTGAATGTCTTTAACTCCCTTCTTTGAATGTTGCTTGTTTATGTCTTTAACACCCTTCTTTGAATGTTCCGTGTGATTGTCTTTAACACCCTTCTTTGAATGTTCCATGTTAATGTCTTCAACGTCGTTCTTTGAATGTTCCTTGTGAATGTCCTTAACACCCATCTTTGAATGTTCCGTGTGACTGTCTTTAACACCCTCCCTTGAATGTTCCTTATGAATGTCTTTAACATCCTTCTTTGAATGTTCCTTGTGACTGTCTTTAACACCCTTCTTTGAATGATCCATGTTTATGTCTTCAACGTCGTTCTTTGAATGTTCCTTATGAATGTCTTTAACACCCTTCTTTGAATGTTCCGTGTGACTGTCTTTAACACCCTCCCTTGAATGTTCCTTGTGAATGTCTTTAACTCCCTTCTTTGAATGTTGCTTGTTTATGTCTTTAACACCCTTCTTTGAATGTTCCGTGTGACTGTCTTTAACACCCTTCTTTGAATGTTCCATGTTTATGTCTTCAACGTCGTTCTTTGAATGTTCCTTGTGAATGTCCTTAACACCCATCTTTGAATGTTCCGTGTGACTGTCTTTAACACCCTCCCTTGAATGTTCCTTATGAATGTCTTTAACACCCATCTTTGAATGTTCGGTGTGACTGTCTTTAACACCCTCCCTTGAATGTTCCTTATGAATGTCTCTAACACCCTTCTTTGAATGTTCCTTGTGACTGTGTTTAAATGCGTGTTTGTGATCTGTTTTCAGACACGGGGCCATGAGGGTATGGATTCTCGAGGAACAACCACCAGAAGCAGATTTCTACAATTTAAAAATCGTTCATTATTCAGCTTTCCCTCTTATTGCAAAAATACATTCCACCTATCACTTACGCATATAATTACTAATAATTCATTCTGTGAAATAAATTGCATTTGATGCATGTTTATGTCCTAACAACTGCGTAAGACGTTGTTGCATATTGAACATTCATATGAATATTTCCATTTCAAGAACTCCACCACAAAGGTTAAACGCAAATTATCTCTGATGGTCAAACTATCTACGTGTTTAAAGACTGATGCGGTTAAGTAATTTTAAAGTTTCCTTAGCCTTAGATTAGGTGATTATTCAAGAAAACAATCGTTTCAATTACAAACTATACGTGTCCAACCGGACACTATGGTTCTTGGCCTGTTTTTTGTTTAATGTTTGTCTACAAATTAAATTGTTTAAATGCATAAATATTTGTTTGATATCAAGGTGCAGCTATTCTTGCGATATGATGCGATGTTGATGGAATATTGCGGAGTGCGGGGTTCAACAACAAACAAGCATACGGATCTCTCTCACCTTTGACTCGTCTTCACCAGGAACAAAGGACTCTTCTTGTAACTGCCCACCTTCCTCGGTGTTTGACAGGCGACACGTCAAGATGCCATGATTAAATTCAAAAACCCCACAGCCATCACTGTGAATGCATAATCTGTTGCACCGACGAATGTTAATCCATGAAAGGCTCTTGATTGTGCTTCCACGTGACGTGTCACAGAAGCAAAGTGTAATAGATTGTAAAACCACACAAAGCCAGAATAGCCAGGACGCTGGTCGCCAGGCATCTGCCATCTTGGCCACCTCCGCTCGAAATCTTCTGAAGCTACATCTCATTACCTGAAGATGCTCTTCCTGATCTGTGCCCTTACGCCATCTGCAACGCAGAGAAGTTAATTTACAGTTAATTGATGGCTTCCCAGTTTGGCTGCAGATGATGCTGAGAGCACTTAGAGATAAATACCTCCAATTTCAAAACCCTGATTGATGGTGGTTAAATCGATATGGGCATATATTCCTGTTTTTCCTGTTATATTTGGTGCTTATGTCGTCTCACAAATTATCATTTTTTAGAGATTGATCACAGACTACCCAAACCAACATTACCAATTAATTTCAACATATTATATACTGTTTATGCATTAGCTGACAGATAAGACGATAGAGAATGGTATATATTCATAACATAAGATAAACACTCACTGGCTATGCATGTATTATTTTATGACGTAATTGATTTCACAAAAGAGGCAACTTTATTAAATAAGAACTATTTATTAGTTACAGAAGAAGCCTAATACATATTTTAGTAAGAATACGAAACAAACAAATATGTCATATATCACCATCATGCATGTGCGTTCGTGCAATTTTAATATTGTCTCAATATTTTTTTATAAATATTTGGACCCCAGTTTTCTTTTTAAGAAAATAACAGATTTATCTTCCTCAAACCCTGTCCCTCCTCGTGAGAAGCCAACGCGTTGAACACTACGCTGCCCTACGTCCAAGGGCAAGACTAACATGTTGCAGACTGTCTCTTCACATTTGTGTTCTTTTATTTCACTTTTACTGACCTTAGTTCTTCCATGAACTGATATATCAATGATCACTTTCCAACATCCAGTTGAGTTGACAGCACGATCCCGAAAATAGATTTTCTATTTCAAAGTTGCGTTTAGTCAAATAACACGTTTAGACTTCCTATGACTAGGAGAGGCAAATTGTATAATAACACAGAAAGGGCTTGAACAATTTATTTCCCACAAGTATTTCACAGAAAGGGCTTGAACAATTTATTTCCCACAAGTATTTCTGTGTTAAGCCACATTTCCAGTGACGATAGGGGATTGAGCTGATGCATACAGTCACGAAATGGAGGTATGCTAACAGTTAAGTGGCACTTTGAAAACGTGTCCATGTTCTCTTGTAAACACTGATGAATGTGTCTTTTTGATGTTTAAATTTTTATGTCACAGGTCTCATATGTATAACGCTGAGTGACAACTGCAATTAGCACACAATGATAAAATGATTTAGTTCTCTGAAGTTGATCAAGATCTGTTTTAAAATGCACCGTATTATGCTGAAGGAAACAGATGCTGAAAGGGACACGTGAAATTGGCAATGTTATCAAGCAGACTTGGTGGGAATAGAAATGTACTCATTCATATATGTATAAACACATATTTTATGTGATTATTGTTCTCTTCAGTCTCAGGAAAATTGTCTTTTGCGATTACAAATTTACCTGAATGCTAGTATCTCACTTAAAATAATGATTGCAGTAATCGTTAACATTATTATTTATACTCAGAATCTTGTTTATGTTTTGTTGCATTAAACACATCGCCCGTGGAAAGTTTGATCATGAACCGCTTCAAGTTTCGAATATCAACAAACATTGATGTGTCTCATTGCTTGCACCACATCGAAAATCACAAGCCCATTGCCATGCTTCCCTGAACATTCCCAAACATAAAGCACACACAACCTCTATTGTATCTGCTTCTGGTCATCTTCTCGAGGCAAGAGCGTCCACTAGCCTTTTTATCAAAGTCTTGTTTCCACAAGGAGCGTCCACTAGCTAGCCTTTTTATCAAAGTCTTGATCTAGGCCTTGATATAGTGGATACTCTTGCGACGGGAAGCTGGCTTCTGGCGTGTGACCGCTGCTTCTGAAAAAAAGATTATTCCTCAGCTCGGACCTCCAAACAGGACATCGAATTCTTCTTGCTTAATATGACAAGTATATGACGAATGTGGGCCTGGCACCTGCACTTGTACGTGTGATATTTCATTTGCTGATGACTTTAAATGATTTGCTGAAGTATACAGAAATACGTCAGCTAATCACATCACAGAGGCCAATACAACATATCATTTTAATGTCATGTGACATAATAATTAACCACATTCTTCTTGTCATGATGATGATAAGCGGTAAGAAATAATCCACAGAAGTTTAGTGCAAAATTCAGTTGTTTTAATGTATCAATGGCCTTTGCAATTAATTTACACTGCTAAATTTGTTACAAATATATGGGTAAAGAATGTCGTGAAGAATTATGTCAGATGCACTATCACAATGAGGGAAATGCATTTGTCTGTAGTTTCTTTTAACGTAATAGTAGTTTCCACTTCTCAAATGGTTTGACGTTGTTGTTCCCCACACATCCTACTTTTGTCTTCTCTTTGTAAGAATTAATAAGAGAGAGGGTTTTTGTTTGATTTTTGTTTTTGTTTTTTGTTGTTGTTTTTTGTTTTGTTTTGGGGGGTGCTCGTTTCAGGAAGTGTTTTTCTAACATATACTATTAATTATAACGAGATGTTGGAAACAAATATAGACGGTCATGATGCTGACTTTAGAGGTGTTCTTCTAAACAATCATCGGATGTGGTCATTTAGGCTTTGTGATTTGTATAATCATCTAATGACCATACTGAGTATTGGTGCTTGTGGATATTTAATAGAGAAAATTGGTATTGTGATAGAAAGGATTAAAAGTCCAAAATACATCCTTTGTCTGTGGGAAGTCAGTCAACCAATTCAAGCATTCTTTGTCCAAAACGTATATAAATGTGTGGCTTAAATTGTTAATAAAACACGCTTATACATATGTATCAATTAGTTATGTATTCAATGTGGGGAAATATATTATGCAGAATGCATATGTTTTCAAGTCAAATGGTTGTGAAACCCTTAATTGTAATATGATGATGAACACGTTGATTATTTCATTTTGTGATGAGAGGTGCATGGATATTACACAAATAACAACCTAATTAACTGAATACCTTGTCACTGTAAATTCGGTCTTTATTCATTATGTATCTCGTTATCATGAGAGGTGCTTGCAGATTACACAAATAACTCCATAATTAATTGAAAACCTTGTCACTGTAAATTCGGTCTTCACAAGAAAAATACAAGTGGCAAGGGATTAGCTGTGTACCGGGTTATTATTGTTTTGTGTTAAGCTGTAATTTTGACAGACGAGCGGTTAATTTAAGTCTTAACTTCAGGTACAACATATTAGAAACAGAGTAAACATTTACAAATGTTCACTGCCAGAGACTGGTGGAATGCAGAGTCCAGTCAACTGTTAACTTGAGCATATGGTACAAGCAAAATAGGATATAGAATCAGATAGACTGCTTGTTAGCAAACGTACCACCAAATCCCTGTCTCCCATGTCCCTAAATGCAATCAAGGACGACGTTTCTTTATATTTACAGAAAGTATTTGAGACAAGTAGGATTAATACCATTCGGATCATCACACACTCAAAGAATTTGCACGAATCTTTGCAATGTGGTATCATCACTGTTTGATAGTGATTCATAGAGTTGCTTTTGCTATAGTCGTACAATGGACTCTTCCTTCATCAGAGCTATCTTATTATAATGGAAATAGTTATATTTTAGCTGCAGGTAATTATTCTAAAAAATACAGAATATCATGTCATTTCTATTGTATTCGTTCCCTCGGGCAATTAACGTGCTACTTACGTATGGTGACTGATACTCTGTTTGGTATTACGATTTCCACGATAATGAGCATCTGACATTTCATTTAGCATTAATTGTCACATGACCCAAAAGCCCCGAAAGAGTACATGTTAGTAATATCATCTCAAATGACGAGCAAAAATCCATTACCAACCAGCATTTTTTGTTCCAAAGCAAAGAGCAGGATCAATGTTGAGGAAGATACTTGTATTGTAGATACATGAATTAACAACATCATTACAAGTTATTCTGTGAATGAGAACAAAAAATGAAGGTATTTTGTCCACAGCTGGGGGATGGG